AGGGGTATGACTACTTTCTGAAGGCACTGTACATGTATTGTGGCAGAGTTGGTTCCTGCTTCAGTCACGTCTTTGGTCACGTTTGCGTGGGTCAAACAAAAACACCCTAATGATTGGTTGACATTAGAGCTTCCCACAATGCAGGTGGTGGCTGCAGGATGAAGTTGGGGAAGAGCAACTGCAGAAACTTGCAGTCGACTGCAGTCAAAATGTCATGACCTTTGATCAGATGGTTTTTGTCAAGTTCATGCCGTCGTCATGTAGATGCAAGTCTGACTATTTTTATCCCCATAATGCAACACTTTGGAAGGCGGAGACCAACGATGGTCACAACTTGACAAAAGTGATCCGCTCGAAAGCGCAACACTTGCAACACTGGCAACACTGGCAACACTGGCAACACTGGCATCACTGGCAATACTGGCAACACTGTCATGTTGATCTGAGCCTTGCTGTTGGAAAACCACATTAGTGTCCGACTTGCACCTCCCCCGACTTCTCTCCTCGACTTTCGTCTACAGTCAGTTGCTTAGCCTTACCATTCAAACGTGCCCAATATCTGGGCCAGCTATTTCTCTTCTTCAAAACTGATTTGAAACCTATCTTACCCCTAAACTTAACCACACTGCTAACCTTATGCCTAACCCTAATCTTGAATTAAGACCAGAAAGCTAAATGTTTTTTTCATACATTTTTATGATATAGCCAATTTTGTCTTCGCTGCTGGCCCATCTAGTGGGAACCCTCAATCAGTGCTGGTGGAATCATTGCGCTATCTGATGTAAAATAATGCGTATCTATCCTAAAGCTGTCAATAAAACTAAAGAATAAAAAATTAATCAACTTTGTTTCTGTACTTATGCCTTGAAATAACAACATGTGTAGCACTCAACAACAAGCATATCAATGAACGAAGGCAGCAGGGGCCGTAGCCAGGTTCTGAGTTTTAGTGTGGTCCGGAGAAGAGCAAAAACAAGCAAAGATTACCCCAGCCATTATCACATTGGTTGCTATAGGTTCATTCACCTCGGTCGATCTACAAACCCATAGCCTAGTGGCTATACAATTAGCCACTACACATTAACTCACATTAGCTCAGCACCGGGATTAAAAACTATAATTGAATACGTACAGAGGGATCTGTTAGCAGAAAAATTATTTTATTAACAAAAGGTAAACAAATACGTTTGCTTTGCAGAACTTTTTTCTTGTTGCAGTTTTACAGCTTATTTCCTATAATTCTACACATTTTGCCATGGGGTGGGGAGACATTTTTGCAGTTTAAAAGCTAATTTCATGATATTCTACAAATTTCGCCATGATTTATGCCATGTTAATATGATATCTGAGTGAGAGTGACTAACAAAATAAGTGTGTGGGGGGGGGGGGGGGGGGGGGGGGCTGGAGGTCAGGGCCCCTGGGCACGTGCCCTGCATGCCAGGTCAGTAGTTTACCATGCAAGTTTAGATAGGTGGCTAGACTAATTTACCAATCCAAAATGTTTTAACTGACATGGGCTAATTGATGTGACTGTCAGTGAGTGAAATAGGCATAACAAGAGAGAAACTGCTGATGCACAACCAAGTTTCGAAATTGCACTTTGTGTATTCTATTCTAACTCTCAACCTTAAGTTGAGACCCCACCCCCCAATTTAATTATTTTATTTTTTACCATGGTCAGGACCTCTGTGTCCTCATATGTAGCTATGGCCCTGGAAGCATACTCTGGATTTGACTTGCAACTCTCTAAACCTGGCCCAAGGCGAGGCAAAGTGCTGCCAGACCATGTGAGCTGTCCAAGGTGCTGACCTGTCAGTGTTACTAGTTACTATGGCCATGACAAACTCATTTACCAACAAATAAACTATAGAAATAGGGGGGAAGCAGGTATACACCTACTATGTATAGTTGGGACTGCCATTGCATAATGCTGCTAATAAGTCTGCCAGGTTATGGTTGGATAATATATGCATGTTTTCTTGAACCGGATCACTTTTTAAGTAACACTTGCTACATCCTGCTTTGAATCCGTTGCTTTGAATCCTCTGTTTGCCAAGTCATCTCACAGAGTCCCACACCCAGTCCAGGATATTTTAATAAATGTTCAACTATACACACCTTTCTCAAATACACATTTCTGTCGAGACTGATTAAAACGTCTGCACAGTGAAGAGGAGCTTGCCAGACGTTTCGGATGGTGAGGAGAATAGGGTAGCGTAGGTTGGGGTTTCAATCCCGAATAAAAGGTCAGTCCAACGATAAGAGACGATATAAAAGTTTTTAGGTAGACTAGCACTCTCTGTGCCTGTGAACCAGTTGGGAATTATTTTAAATGCAGGAGGTAAGACACTTGGATACTCACCATTGGTCTAATCTTTGCGAAAATAGGATGTACTCATTTTGTGATCAGCTATATAGACTTCTAAATGTATTTGTATGGGATTATGTTACAGTCAGTACGCATAATATATAGTGTTATTGAAGGTTGAAATCCTAATTTGAGATTTGCGCGCATAACTCGCATAACTCCCATTGACATTATACCGATTTACCCGCGCAGGTGTCAAATTATGATTCGACCTGAAGTGTTTTATATAATTTGTTTTAATAATGGGCAAATATTAAGGTGAAACTGCAAAAATCGATATTGGACACCAAAACTGAAACTAAAACTTCGAGTGGCCTATAGACGCCAGAATGGGCCAATAATATTTAATTAAAACCTTTCATAAATTATCTAGCATTCGAGGCTTGTTTTAAGTTGCCTGCGACCTATTTAAAGACTCAGGCAGCTAAAGCAAGTCTGGGACGCCAGAGACCACTCTTCAGAACACAGCAGCAGCAGCGGCAGCGGCAGAACTGGTGGGGAGGGAGTGGCGTGGTGGGGACGTGGAGTGATAGCCTACTCCATGAGTCATATAGGCCTAGCCTTGCTTAGCAGTCACATATATAGGCCTACTCTTAGGTCTTATATCCTGTTATCACCCCCCCTCCCCCGGGCAACTAATCATAACTTGATATCCGCGTGCCTAACTATGGAATTTTCGTTAAAATCTTTCACTTGAATTAATGCGAAATTCAATTACGCACGCGTAAGCTAGGCTTGATCAAGTTTGGATTCGATCCATAATGTGTATTGTGATCGAAATTGTAATGTTAATTATGTCTATTTAATTATTACCATGTGTTGTGATTAGAAATGCCTTTAGGCCTACTATTGAGTTGGTGTAAGCAGTGGAAAACCTTTTAGAATGCAGGCCTATACAAAATATACAATTTGCTGTACATTTTGCATGTCCATGTTATATGCCAACTAATAAACGTTTTTTTTTTAACCTTAAATACTGTTTGACTGTCATTGTCTTTTTAATGCACATACTCATTGAATATTTTCACAGCTAATCTCATGAATGTTATCTACCCACAATGTATCTTCTACATATTCCTTAGGCTTACTTAATAGAGGCAGGCAGTTATTGTGTTTCAAGGGGGGGAGCAAAAACATTATTATTATTATTATTATTATTATTATTATTGTTATTGTTATTGTTATTGTTATTGTTATTGTTATACTGAGCCTCTATATTATTGTTTATCATTATTATTATTGATATTATTATTAGGCCTATTGTTGTTATTATTATGCTATTATTAATGGTCCTCTGTAGCTCAGCTGGTAGAGCATGGCCCTTGTAACGCCAAGGTAGTGGGTTCGATCCCCGGGACCACCCATACACAAAAAAATGTATGCGAGCATGACTGTAAGTCGCTTTGGATAAAAGAGTCTGCTAAATGGCATATTATTGTTATCAATGGAATTTGGGGGATGGGGACTTGTGCGGTATAACTTGGACAATGTCTTGGAAGGATTGCTTTGAATTAATGGTGAATTGTTCTGTCATGGCTTTACATCAATAAACATCATAGCCTATAAGACATGGTTGTAGATTTACAACCTCGTTACACGAAGATTGTATATAGCCTTATACCCATAAACAGAAGGTCGGGATAAAATGTTCTTGTTTTCCCAGGTGCATTGAGGCGTGTTTTTAAGGTAAATATTATTTTTCCAACATGAAATAGGCCTTTGTGTTTGCAAAGAGGTTAAGAGGCGGAAAAGAGAGAGGATCTGAACTGGCTTCCATGTCATACACTTAAATTCTCCATAGAAACTCTGATCTTAACGCGGAAACTTTATTAAACCCTGATGGTGGATTGATAAGACCGAATTTCTCTCGGCTTCTTTTTATTGCGGAGACCGGGGAGGGATGACAGAGGTAAATTGCTATTTTAATTAAAGCAATGCACCAGAGGAAATTGCTGTCTGAATATTGTATCAGAGATGGGGTTTGTGACAGTTGCCTGGAAACTTCAATCTGTCCCACATTTATCCCAGATCACAGTTCTGAGATAAAGTTTAATACAAATCTTTACCAGAATGAAATCCAACCCTTTCTTGAACAACATCTACAATGAGACAGAACTGCGGAGGAAACCTTATGTTTAACATGTATCTCTCAGGTTCGTGCTTTTGTACTTGAAATTATCAATATTATTGCTTTATATTCAGATGAGGGAAATTAGTCTTTAGTCCTCGGGTAGTGATGCTGCTTCCAGCTAGCGTTTGCTCTGCCTTTTCAATCTGAAACACTTCTCCTCTTTTGTCGGAAATCGGATATCCTCTTTCCTGAACGCGTTTCCTGACTTCGGCTTTGAAGCTTGGAGGAAAAAACACAAATATGAGAAAATAGAGCATTAGTTAGAGAGACTCGTTTATGAGATAGAATCATAGCTTTTAAATGCCTTTATAATATTTTCAATCTGGAATGGAAATATTTCAACAAGGAATAAGGTTATAGCCTATAGAATTATCCAAATGTGAATTGTGTTTTTAACATATACCTTTGCAATTAATATTTATTTTAGTTTACATTTTATACTAATATTGTTTTAATAACATATGTATTTGTGTTAGTGACCGTTCTATTTCTATTGCAGATCCAACAGAAAATCTGTTGAAAGAAAGCAAAAGTGGATCCTGGAGTCCCATAAATACAGGAGTGCAAAAAGGTAAGAACATTTTGAAATGTTTTTTTATTATCTGCATTCCAAACCAGTATGCATTCCGAGCATTTTTATTACTTTTATATATTATTATATATTACTTTTAATATTGTAGAGTCAATAGAAGCACTGTTATTGATTTGATTAGAGATCATTAATCAGCTGAAAGAACACCAATTAACCCTTTTTTTCTTCATGATTGTGCATGCATGATTGTGTTGTTTGTGCACGAGGCATGCTTTTTAGACAAATACTTTTCTTTCGTGATTTTGTTTTTGCAAGACATAGACATTGAGGCAATTGTTGTCCAACTGATAGGGTATCAACATGTTATTCTATGCGTAATTCTCTATTTATTTTGGAAACCAAGTGACATTTGTTTTCCAGATTGCCTATAAAATAAATGCTTATTTCCCCCTTATTTTCCCTTCACAAATGTCTATTATATGTTATTTTGAATAGGTAGTGGACAGATTCAGCTATGGCAGTTTCTCCTCGAACTCTTGTCAGACAGCGCAAACATGTCCTGCATCACCTGGGAAGGGACAAACGGAGAATTCAAGCTAATTGACCCAGATGAGGTGGCCCGGCGATGGGGCGACCGCAAAAGCAAGCCCAACATGAACTATGACAAACTCAGCCGTGCACTGCGTTACTACTATGACAAAAACATCATGACAAAGGTCCATGGGAAGAGATATGCTTATAAGTTCGACTTTCACGGCTTGGCCCAGGTGTGTCAACCGTCAACAACCGAGCAAGCTCTTTATACATTCCAGAGTAATTTTGCCCCCATTCCTTTTTCAGGGATTTCCAAGCTAAGCCTTGTTGGTCCAGGCGTTGGTCCGTCCGGATTCTCCTATTGGCCGGGGTCGCCACACACTCTCTACCACAATCACAACCTCCAACCCCCGGGACCGTTTGGTGCTGTGTCTGTGTCTGCTTCGCACATCAACTGTGTCAACAACATCAACAACCTGAATAATATCAATAACCACTACAATTGACTACTATTAATCCACCAATGAAGTGGTCTAAAAAGGCCTAATCATAATTCACGATGATTGATGTAGTCTGAGGCTTCCATTTCGAAATGTTATCTTGTGAACCCAACACATTGTCTAATCCTAACTGAATATGCCAAGGCGCAATTCATTAAACATTTTGTGGAATGTTTCAAATGTAATAACATGCGTTTTCAGATAGGCTTTGTATTTCAGACTAAATCCAGATTAAGAATTTTTTTCTTGCCAATTCTTTTTGTCATTGATTCGACAGGACACTGGTGTCTACACCTCTGAGAATGTATGGGCTTTTAGCGCCATCATGTGGCTATTTATTAAACATATAAATACTGAATTCATCTCAAGTAGGCTTGCAGTGCACTAATTTTAAAGTAGGATTATCAGCTCCAATCTAAAAACATTATGGAGATAAAGATATGTTGTCACCAATATATTCCCTGATGACTCCCACTTTAAATAGCCTTCGTTATTTTAAAGGTCCAATGCAGCCGTTTTTATCTCATTTCAAATCATTTCTGGGTAACAATTAAGAACCTTACTGTGATTGTTTTCAATTAAATGGTCAAAAAGAAAGAAATAGCAATGAGCAATTTCTCAAGCAATAATGTTGCTAGCACTGTCTGGGAGTGGGGAGGGGAAAACTGAAAATTAGCTGTTATTGGCAGAGAGGTTTTGAACTCTCTTTCTTGTTGGTATTTTAACTCATTTAACGCCTGGTGATGTCACCAGGTAGGCCAAAACTCCATCCAACCAAAACAGGCAGAAATTTCAGGTGGTCTTTTCAAACAGCTCTTACACTAAAAGGGCATCATCATAATTTTCACAATTTCACAGTATTATTCCAACCTCATAGTGTGGAATATACTGTATATATATATATATATATATATATATATATATATATATATATATATATATATACAGAAGCCTTATTTGGTAAAATACCAAGTCCATATTAAGGCAAGAACAGCTCAAATAAGCAAAGAGTGCATCATTACTTTAAGACATGAAGGTCAGTCAATACGGAACATTTCCAGAACTTTGAAAGTTTCTTCAAGTGCAGTCGCTGCAGAGGATAAGTTCATTAGAGTTACCAGCCTCAGAAATTGCAGTCCAAATAGATGCTTCACAGTGTTCAAGTAACAGACACATCTCAACATCAACTGTTCAGAGGAGACTGTGTGAATCAGGCCTTCATGGTCGAATTGCTGCAAAGAAACCACTACTAAAAGACACCAATAAGAACAAGAGACCTGCTTGGGCCAAGAAACACGAGCAATGGACATTAGACCGGTGGAAATTTGGTCTTTGGTTCCAACTGCTGTGTCTTTGTGAGACGCGGTGTGGGTGAACAGATGATCTCTGCAAGTGTATTTCCCACCGTAAAGCATGGAGGAGGAGGTGTTATGGTGTGGGGGTGCTTTGCTGGTGACACTGTCTGTGATTTATTTAGAATTCAAGGCACACTTAACCAGCATGGCTACCAGAGCATTCTACAGCGATACGCCATCCCACCTGTTTTGGGCTTATTGGGACTATCATTTGTTTTTCAAATCGACAATGACTGAACACACCTCCAGGCTGTGTAAGGGCTATTTTACCAAGAAGAGAGTAACGGAGTGCTGCATCAGATGACCTGGCCTCCACAATCCCCCGATCTCAACCCAATTGAGATGGTTTGGGATGAGTCGGACCGCAGAGTGAAGGAAAACCAGCCAACAAGTGCTCAGCATATGTGGGAACTCCTTCAAGACTGTTGGAAAAGCATTCCAGGTGAAGCTGGTTGAGAGAATGCCAAGAGTGTGCAAAGCTGTCATCAAGGCAAAGGGTGGCTATTTGAAATTCTCAAATATAAAATATATTTAAATTTTTTAACACTTTTTTGTTTACTACATTATTCCATATGTGTTATTTAATAGTTTTGATGTCTTCACTATTATTCTACAATGTAAAAAACAGTAAAAATAAAGGAAAACCCTTGAACGAGTAGGTGTGTCCAAACTTTTGACTTGTAGTGTATGTATATATTTATACAGAGGGAAAAAAGTATTTGATCCCCTGCTGATTTTGTATGTTTGCCCACTGACAAAGAAATGATCAGTCTATAATTTTAATGGTAGGTTTATTTGAACAGTGAGGGACACAATAACAACAAAAAAATCCAGAAAAACGCATGTCAAAAATGTTATAAATTGATTTGCATTTTAATGAGGGAAATAAGTATTTGACCCCCTCTCAATCAGAAAGGATTCTGGCTCCCAGGTGTCTTTTATACAGGTAACGAGCTGAGATTAGGAGCACACTCTTAAAGGGAGTGCTCCTAATCTCAGTATAAAAGACACCTGTCCACAGAAGCAATCAATCAATCAGATTCCAAACTCTCCACCATGGCCAGGACCAAAGAGCTCTCCAAGGATGTCAGGGACAAGATTGTAGACCTACACAAGGCTGGAATGGGCTACAAGACCATCGCCAAGCAGCTTGGTGAGAAGGTGACAACAGTTGGTGCGATTATTCGCAAATGGAAGAAACACAAAATAACTGTCAATCTCCCTCGGCCTGGGGCTCCATGCAAGATCTCACCTCGTGGAGTTGCAATGATCATGAGAACGGTGAGGAATCAGCCCAGAACTACACAGGAGGATCTTGTCAATGATCTCAAGGCAGCTGGGACCATAGACACCAAGAAAACAATTGGTAACACACTACGCCGTGAAGGACTGAAATCCTGCAGCGCCCGCAAGGTCCCCCTGCTCAAGAAAGCACATATACAGGGCCGTCTGAAGTTTGCCAATGAACATCTGAATGATTCAGAGGAGAACTGGGTGAAAGTGTTGTGGTCAGATGAGACCAAAATCGAGCTCTTTGGCATCAACTCAACTCGCCATGTTTGGAGGAGGAGGAATGCTGCCTATGACCCCAAGAACACCATCCCCACCGTCAAACATGGAGGTGGAAACATTATGCTTTGGGGGTATTTTTCTGCTAAGGGGACAGGACAACTTCACCGCATCAAAGGGACGATGGACGGGGCCATGTACCGTCAAATCTTGGGTGAGAACCTCCTTCCCTCAGCCAGGGCATTGAAAATGGGTCGTGGATGGGTATTCCAGCATGACAATGACTCAAAACACACGGCCAAGGCAACAAAGGAGTGGCTCAAGAAGAAGCACATTAAGGTCCTGGAGTGGCCTAGCCAGTCTCCAGTCCTTAATCCCATAGAAAATCTGTGGAGGGAGCTAAAGGTTTGAGTTGCCAAACGTCAGCCTCGAAAACGTAATGACTTGGGGAAGATCTGCAAAGAGGAGTGGGACTAAATCCCTCCTGAGATGTGTGCAAACCTGGTGGCCAACTACAAGAAACGTCTGACCTCTGTGATTGCCAACAAGGGTTTTGCCTTATATAGGATTTAGATTACATTTTCTAACCTCTCTGGATTACAACCAAATTATGACAAATGTACTATATTATGTATTGGATCACCAACCAAATTATTTTTTTTACATTACCATGTAGTTTACCAATAAAATGGACTGATGGTGATGTGGATATACTCGGAATACATATCCCAAAGGAAATAAATGATCTCACTTCAATACATTTTAATAGAAAGTTAGCAAAAATAGATAAGATCTTGCTACCATGGAAAGGTAAATACCTGTCAATTTGTGGAAAAATCACCCTGATTAACTCTTTTGTATTATCCCAGTTTACCTATTTGCTTATGGTCTTGCCTACGCCTAGCGAACAGTTTTTTAAATTATATGAGAAAAAAATATTCAATTTAATTTGAAACGGCAAGCCAGACAAAATTAAACGGGCCTATTTATATAATGAAATGAATTCAGAGGACAGAAATGATTAAATATTAAAGCATTAGACCTATCACTAAAAGCTTCAGTCATACAAAAGTTATACTTAAATCCGAACTGGTTCTCTAGCAAATTAGTAAGATTGTCTCACCCAATGTTCAAGAATGGCCTTTTTCCCTTTATTCAAATTACAACCACTCACTTTCAGTTATTTGAAAAGGAGATCATCTCCCAAATATCACTATTTCTAAAACAAGCCATAGAAAGTTGGTTGCAATTTCAATTTAATCCTCCAGAAATGACAGAACAAATAATGCAACAAATATTGTGGTTAAACTCAAATATACTAATTGACAAAAAAACGTTTTTTTTTAACAAAATGTTTAAAAAGGTATAATCTTCGTAAATGATATCATCTGGTGGCGTTATGTCGCACATGCAGCTAACAAAAACATATGGAAATGTCTGCTCTACCCAACATTACAACCAAATAATTGCAGCCTTACCGCAAAAATGGAAGAGGAAAGTGGAAGGGGGAGAAAGTAATGAACTTGTCTGTTGGCCTTGCATTAAAGAACATAATTGGTTAAGGAAAACTGTGATAAATAAATAAATATATCAGTTTAATTTAAAGACCAAAGGATTGACAGCCATCCCATATAGATTGCAAAATAGTTGGGAAGAGATTTTTGACGAACCGATCCCATGGCATAGTGTTTATGAACTGATACGCAAAACGACACCGGATTCAAAACTTAGAATCTTTCAATTAAAATTATTATATACAATTCTTGCTACCAATAGAATGTTATTTATATGGGGGATAACGGATTGCATTATTTACCTGGAGCTAACCTTACAGATAGCATTACCGGGTGATATGAAAAGTCAAAGTCAATCGATCAATAACATAATAATACTTTTAACAAAAATGTTTATTTTCAATTCACAATCTGTAGAAACAATGAGAATAGAAAGGTTCAGAACTTTTGTAAGACATCACAATACAGTTAAAATATACAATGGGGAAAAAAAGTATTTAGTCAGCCACCAATTGTGCAAGTTCTCCCACTTAAAAAGATGAGAGAGGCCTGTAATTTTCATCATAGGTACACGTCAACTATGACAGACAAAATGAGGAAAAAAAATCCAGAAAATCACATTGTA